AGTCCCTGAAAACCACTGTACCCTCATGCACGCTATGGTTGTGAAGTAATGCTGACCTTTGAGTAGTATGTTTGGATTGCGCAAAAGAATGTAGTTGACGGTTTCTCACAACGGTCAAAAATGATAGGACGTCCTGGAGCGAATAACTAGAGAAAATGAACATTTTTACCGTCGGACTGTACCGTCGATTCATCTGTGTCTGTCGGAATTATGATTGACCTATTCAAGATGGGAGGTCTTGCTGTAGATGATCTAATTTATCGACACTTATATGGTTGCTCCTAATTATTCTCGACCTGGCACCGGTCTTTTGAAATTTATAACACTACTACTTGAGATCACACTGTACATTTGGCACGTGGTACACTGATGGTCAAGCGATATTAGACATCATCACCTGGGATGCAAATACACACAAACGACCAGGCTAAACCAGCTGGATGGAACAGTTGTAGCTTCCAACGCTTGTGGGAACGATTTTGACACGCTGACTTTGTATAACGGATCCAACATGGATAAACTACACCAAATCCCTAATGCTTTTTATACAAATAAATGAAATCAAAGATTAAGATTTACAGCTTTCAAAAGCAATTAGCGTACTCTCTGCATTAAATTTTATTCAGAGCTTGGTTGTACAATCAATTTTCAGGAAGTGAGAAACGGCCTATTAAACCGCCTCAGCGTTATACACATACCGTGGTGCTTGAACACACGGCCTCCGATGCGATTAGCCAGTGACGTTAGCCGCCTGACCACCAACGTCAGCGCGATGAGAGCAGTGTCAAACAATAATTGGCCTATAATATTTCAGCGAAAATTGTGAAAGGACACAACGTGAATGAAAAGCTTCGTGCACAAGCGCCACACTCGGAGTGAAAGTACGCATTAAAAACCCTCGTTTTCTTTCACTCTCAATCCTATTACGGATGAGAATATCGCATACTAACCGGCAGGGATTACGTCATCCGCTCGTCCGTACACGACCAGAGTGGGAATGTCAGTTTTTAATTCGAACAGAGGACGGTGTTGCCGAGACCGACTGAGGAAAGGAGCTACCAGGATAGAGAACTGTGGTTGAAAGGATTTGCACGCTAAAAATAAAAAAACAGCAGTATCATTGAGATCACGAAATTTAGAAGTGGATAGATGCGTGTCATCGCTCAACAAACAAATGAATCAGTTAATAACAATCATATAAACAATTACGGTAAAGTAGATAATCAAAGCGAAAGAATGCAGGCGTTTGACATTCTGAGGCAGAGTGCAGCAGAAAAACTACTTCAATTTTATCTCCGACTTGAAAATGTAACGGCTCCCTAGACATGTTAGTCAGCAACTGTGCAAAAGCGTCAATCGGAAGTGAATTCACTATCAAATTGTAACTTGAGAACTTGGCACTGAAGCCCACAACAGGTGAACTTGGCATTCCTCCGTATGGGCGGCGTGGTACTGAAACTAGGAGTCGTGTATTTATTTGCCAGGATCGTTCGATTTTGTAAACGAAACACGCCATAGTCGAATTCAAACAGGCTGTACTGTCGGTCCAGTATCTTGTCCCAATCACGCCAGTGATCTAAGTTACCTGCTTTTCTGGCATAAACTGTTGTCATCGTAACCGTTGTAACTGTAATTACTAGCATCTTATCTACGCCACACGTACAATCCACACGTGGAGCTAGGCTGTATCCAAATGACCTTATCGATTCTTTTCACACAAACACACACACACAAACTCGTTCTGGACTCTGATTGTCGATGATGCACCAAACCAACAGATATCATCTTTAGTTCGACATTTGAATTTCTTGCGTATTAGAGAAGCGATGACCCCACTGGCTTAGCCAATCGGTCTAACTAGTTACTCCTTGCTATGATGGACTTTTACGATCTACGGATAATGAACTTGTTTGAAAACATCAAGAATTGAGGAATATAAACCTGTTGAATTTCGCAAAATCCTTATGGTACATCTCAATGGCATGTTAGTCGAGCCCTTCGATTGGCTGCGCTAGATTTACACGCTCTCCGTAACACTTGGAATTTTCACATTTTCAACGATCAGATCCCAAACCTACCAGAACATCTTTTAATCGCTTATTGGCTTGTACAACTCCAGCAGCTTACTGTACAGGTTGCATCCGAAAACGCAAGTAAGCAGGCTGGCAAGTTGCTCTTGGTTCCCATTCATCTCAAATGACTATTCCCTTATCGATTGGCAGTAACGTTTGGTCATTATTTCCAAAAACGGCGGGTTGAACTAGTGTCATCAGTTCATGAATTCAAACGAACACGCTTATATTATGTGTACAGGATTACTCACTGAATAGGGATAAAGAGAACTTTGTATCAATGGATGGTTTTTAAGTTCACCGACAGTATCGAGGAACAGGAGGAGAGAAGACTGGAGGTGATGTTTAACATACTTCAACGTTTCCTGCGGTGACATGTCCCGCGTTACTTTTCAGTACTGTTTGAAAGGTACTGAATGTCGAGTTGTGAAATGCTACCCAAAATAAAATATTTTCCGACTGAATTATGAGGAATAGAAACAGCAAAGGCAAGGAAACAAGCTTCCCCGTGAAGAAACGAAAGTATATTCAGAGGTGGATGTCAATATTGACGCTCTCAGTGGGGCATTCGAACGCCAGTTATTAGTCACTCTTCCTGCCTACTGGTCACACAATATTTGTATTGTGGAGTCCTTCTCAAATCATGATCTACCAAAACCTTTAAATAATGTTAATTCATAATCTGCTGGACGGTTTAGTTCCGGCAAGCTTCAAATTTGGAGCCACTTACCTAGCTGATATAATCACCTCCATCGCACCTCCACTATCTCAGACTGTTGGAGGCTAGACATAATCACGCTAATCCCAAAAGAATCCAAATCTTTTGTCATCTCCAAAAGTTATCGTCCCATAAGCTTCACATCTTTTGCCTTTAGGCCTATCATCAAACGTCCTTCACAGTTGGTGAACATTCACAGTAACCCATTACGGTTTGCCTACAAGCTTAGCATATACACGTCGGGTACAATCTCCACTCTTATTCATAAAATACCGAAGTCTGTGAATGAATCCGTTAGACCTCTTCGGTGCGATTTCCCCGATTATTCTTCAGCATTCGACTCCATTCCGCGACCAAAACTGGAAACTTTTTAATTCCTTGTTAGCTTAACAGCTTTTCTGAAAGAGTATAAACCACTAGGCCTGAAAAGGTTCCATCGAAACTCCTAATCAAAAACTGCGGAGTGCTTCAAGGAGCTATGCTGTCCCCATATTTATTTTCCACATACATTTGCGATATTTCTTGCTTGTCCTGCACATGTTTTGAAATATGCAGATGATTTGCTGTGTCAACCCATTACTACTTCCACAGACCTACGTTTATTCATAGTGAATAATAACAATCCTTCATCCAAGGGTGAACTCTGCCAAATATCTTGGTGTAGCTATAGATAACAATCTTTGCTGGTCAAACCACATCCACAGTTGCATTGGTAAGGTGCGGCGCCTGTGGTTTCGAATTCGAAAGCTCAGACAGCTTCACGCATCCCAGTCAATCATTTCCACTTTTGTATACCTATGTATTTTTCCCGTCTTGTATTGTTACCCAGTTTGTCCCCTGACTTACTTAAACAAAGTTTCAAAATCTTAGGCCACGGTTCAACTATTATCAGCCAAGTTTTTTTTCTGCTTCCATGAACAAGGTAGTTGTGTAACTTTTAGACTGTCATACAACTGCTTTCGTGAACTTTACGGAAAGGAGTTTTGCAGACCCTGACCACTCACTTTACGTAGAACTGAAAAGTTGTCGCAGCCTCCCCTCCGCAAAGTCTGAAATCCGACAAACGCCATCTCGTATAAACGTTTACTGAAAATCACTTGTGCCCTATGTTTCACGTTTGCCTACAAATAAAAAGAAGACGAAACGTGAAATTCGTCTTAAC